TGGGACTCCTCACAACTGAACAATACCTGGTAGACCACCAAAACTGCTCTCGTCAGATCTGAAAAAACAGGTGTTTCTGTCCATCCTTCCACTGTGAGAAGACAACTCAACACTGAGTCTGAGAGGATGTATAGCTGTTAAGAGGATGTGTCTGAGAAAAGAAGAAAAATTGCAAATCAAGCAAAGAAGCTGCTGGTCAATGGACTGACTACCCCAGAGCCTGGACATCAACATCATTGAACGTGTTTGTGATCATGAGAATCAGAAAATGTAACCAACTTCTAAGACTGAACTTCGGAGGTGTGGAAGAATATCCCACACAGATTTCTTTGGAAAACTGAAAGCAGGATAAAACTGAATAATAAGCAAGAGATTTTTTTGAATTAACAACCAAAGTATTGTTCAACTGTCAAAGGCAAAAGTCATTACATTTTGATGGACGAATAGGGGACTTTTTGTCTTTTGCATGACATAATTTGATGAATCATGCTTAATATGACCAGCGACCTGAACAAGCAGTGTAATGAAGGTCCATTGTGATTATCAGCAGTGTTAGATTTAGGTTTAGGTTTAGGTTTTGAGTTTTACACTGAACAGAATCTATGATATAGCCACTGTCCAAAAAAACCCAAGTAACTCCAAAATGGTAACAGAAGAAAATGTACTTTACTTTTATGTTTCTATTGCTCCATTCATTATGGAACTGTCACACAATGTAAAGGGAAGCTGCCCGGATGATGTGGGACAGCGACGATACGCAATCCAGTTAAATGAATTTATATATAGTTGAATGCCAGTCAAAGGCAAAGTGAGCATCTATAAAGCATCTATAATGCTACTGAAATACAGTGAAGGAGGTGTAGCTCCTGCTAATGCAGTTAGTAATGAGTCCAAAGACAGCAGCATTTTGCACATGGACTACAGACACTAATACACGTCCATGTCATAAACTGGGTGTCATTAGGCCGTTTTGCCTGGTGTATCAATAGGAAGCAGATTGTGAGCTCAGGGATGCGTCGCTGTGACTGAGCGTGACACTCGAGCTGCCATCATTCTGCTGCTGTCACAGTAGGAGAGGCCTCTCCACAACGGCTCTAATTACATCTGTTTCCTGTTTCCTGCGATCAGTCACAGCGTGCCTGCGTCTGTGCCATCGCACCTCCGGAGGTTGAATGTCATCAATAATTGGTTCCCCTTTTCACCGCGTCCACAAATGGACCTCCTGTGTCACAGGCAGACCTGTAGCATGGAGGGATCTCTCATGTATTTTGAAAGAAGTGACTCTGTGCCATTTTGTTGCCTGGAAAGCAGAAAAGAAAGAAAAAAAAGTCTTGTAAGTGTTGATATGCGTGAAGAGGCTGTGAAGGAATGGATTACTGAGTGTGGCATCTTTGAGAATGGTGGACCTCTGACTCCCTCTAGAGGGCCGTGCAGCCGGACACTAAAAGCGCAACAGTGCTGTCTGTAATGAGCTACATCAGTGGTCACGAACTCATCTCCTGGAGATCTAGATGGCTCTTCAAGGGTTCTTTAGCAAAGAAAATGGTTCTATATAGAACCATGAACACTCAGAGAACCCTTTGCATGATTGAAGGGTTCTTTGCATCATGAAAAGGTTATTCAGACTGAGGGAGACTGTGTTGTATATGGTTTTAAAAGAACCTTTTTGAAAAGTGTTCTATACGACAGCAAAAAGGGTTCTTCTATTGTTGCAAGCTTGACATCATCATAATAGAGGAAACTTTTTGGTGCTACGTAGAACCCTTTTAAAAAAAAGCATCTACAACACAGTCTCCATCAATCTGAAGAACCTTTTCATGATGCAAAAAATCCTTCAAGCGATGATTCAAAGACGTTTCTTCAAGGGTTCTTTAGAAAACAAAATGGTTCTATATAGAACCATGAACACTCAAAAAACCCATGATTGAAGGGTTATTTGCGTCATGAAAGGTTTCTTCAGACTGAGGAGAATATATTGTATATGGTTCCACAAGCTCATCAATGTTCTCTGTAATAAGCTACATCAGTGGTCACCAGCTCGTCTCCTGGAGATCCACTCTACACACTTAAAGAAAAAGATGGTTCTTCAAGGATTCTTTAGCAAAGAAAATGGCTCTTTATAGAACCATGAACACTCAAAAACCCTTTACATGATTAAAGGGTTCTTTGCATTGTGAAAGCGTTTTTCAGACTGAGCAGAATGTGTTGTATGTAGTTCTACAAAGAACCGTTTTGAAAAGGGTTCTGTATAGCACCGAAAAGGGTTCTTCTACTGTTATAAACTTGACATCATTGTAATAGAAGAACCCTTTTTGGTGCTACATAAACCCTTTTCAAAAAGGTTCTATATAGAACCATCTACAGCACAGTCTCTATCAGTCTGGAGAACCTTTTCATGATGCAAAGAACCCTTCGAGTGAGGATTCAAAGATGTTTCTTGGAGGGTTCTTTAGTAAAGAAAATGGTTCTATATAGAACCATGAACACTCAAAAACCCTTTGAATGATTAAAGGGTTCTTTGCATCGTGAAAGTGTTCTTGAGATTGATAGAGAATATGTTGTACATGGTTCTATAAAGAACCTTTTTGAAAAGGGTTCTGCACTACACCAAGAAGAGTTCCTCTATTGTTACAATGTTGACATCATTATACTAGAAGAAGCTTTTTGGTGCTTCTATATAGAACCATCTACAGCACATTCTCCATCAGTCTGAAGAACCTTTTCATGATGCAAAGAACCCTTCAAGCATGCAAAGGGTTCTTTGAGTGTTCATGGCTCTATATAAAACAATTTTCTTTACGGTTCTTTAAAGAACCATCCATATTTCCCAATTTTTGTAGATACTTGATCGTCCAACAGTTTTTCTGAAATAGAAAGTATTAAAAGTAAGTTTGTCCCCCTTTGCTGCAGTAACAGCTTTTCTCTGCTGGGGAGGCATTATGCTTGGAACATTACTGTGAGGATTTGATTGCATTCAGCCACAAGAGCATTAGTGAGGTCAGCTACTGATGTTGGATGATTAGTTGGGGATCAACTGCACCACTCCACCACATCCCAAAGGTACTGGATAAAACTCCATCACTCCAGAGAACACAGTTCTGCTCCACAGCCCAGTGATGGTGGCTCTAGCTGACACTGATTATTAAGTCTAATATCTTCTACAACAGCTGGGTTTGTGACTTCTTGGCTACATTATTATTACCCAAAATTAAAACACTGTTTGTTATTAAATCTTTGTCTGATTAAATAACGATTTTACAAAAAAAGGTGAAATCATATTAGTCTATTGTAATTTTGTGTAGAATCCGACTGAATAATAGTTGCTTTGTCTGGTTTAAATATGATGCACTGGCCTTCTTTTTGTTGTTTCTGTAGCTGTGTAGCCCTTAGTTTGCTAACTAGCAAGTTAGCAGAGTAAGGTAACAAACTTGGGATGGTATAAGTGGGAATGCTAAGGGCAAGTTGACAAGGGCATGTTATAAACAGTAGTGAAACGGAGGGCACATGTATCGTGGAAAAAATATATTTGCAGCTTTGCTCTCAACACAGAACTAAAGATAAAACTCGAAACATCAGGATTGGCAGGAAAAAGCACAATTCTTTTATTGAAGATTAAGGCTTCAAGTGTTTCAAGCATCCAGCATCAAGCGTTTATCCACAAAAATCCACACTTTTTATGCTCTTTTTGGGCAAGGAATGGTCAACACATGGCTCCTCCATGTCCTTTCCTTTCCTTCAAAGTTTTTGATTTGCACACCATTATCTCTAAAAGTCACAACCATTTTCACCACCCTTATTTCCAAACCAAGAAGTAATGATTTTTTTTTTAAATGCTGAAGATCTATTACACTTGGATATATATATATATATATATATATATATATATATATATATATATATATATATATATATATATATGTACTTCTCCCTCTTTCACAAGGTCTCATGATATACTACACACAGACTCCAGCTGTATGTGGGTGTCCCATCAAGTCACAGCCAAACTGCTCATCCACCATATAATACTTATATATGAATAATTATGATTCAGTTAGTTACCATAAATGATCAACTCGGTGGAGATCTGGTGACTGTGAAGGCCGTAGCATATGATTTCCATTATTCTCATACTCATTTTCCTCTTTCGCATTTTGATCCATAATGCAGGTCCACTGGGTTTGCTCAACATTTCTAGACATGCAACAGAGCATGGTGAGATATTCATTGCTTAATTGTCATTCAGTACGCCTGCCTGGAACATCTGCACTCATTATGTTTCTCTGCTCATTTGCTCAGGTTTTCCCTTTTATTTGTTACCACATATCTACATACATACATACATACATACATACATATATACATGCATACATACCTACATACATATATATACGTACATACTACATACATGCATGCATACATACATAATTAAATACAGTACTAAATGCATGCACAAATGCATACATCATTTATAAAAATATAAATTATTTTTCTATTACCCACCTAACCAAAACACATGAAACTTGACTAGCAGCATCTCTATATAAGAGGTACAAGTCTGTCAAACTCGCTCTGCGGAAAGTTAGGCTGAGACTGAATTTTCTTTTTCTTGTTTATGCATTACTTTGACTTTGGATCATGCATTAATATAATTAATTAATTAATGTGAATGATTAGAAAGAAATAGTGTGCTGTATGAGAGAGCATTACTGTCTCTAGTGACAAGGCCATCAGTATACTAAAGTATATACATATAGTTGACTAAAATCCATTTTATTTTATTTTATTTTAGTTTAGTTTAGTTTAGTTTAGTTTAGTTTAGATTAGTTCAGTTTTGTTTTATTCCCTTCGCTAGGTTTTATTTTGAAGGGCACGCCAAATGTCTTCGTTGTCATTGCTGACGTAGCTGCCGCCATGTTGAATCGTCGATCTACACGTCATACACCAACAGGAAATACTGCGAAAGTGTACTTGTAGATCAGTGAATCTGAGCCGCTCCGTTAGAAGCTTGCGTGTCTTTTTGCCGGAAGCTTCCAAACATTCACAACACAGCAGAGATGGCAGATGTACACGTACGAATATGTGAGCAAGAAATTATTAAGTATGATTTGGAGATAAAAGCTCTGATTCAGGTATGGCGATGCAGCAGCTCCTCTCAGTCCCTCTGTCTTTTTTAGCTGTCTCGGTGCTGTCTCGGTTCTCTCAGGACTGTCTGTATGTGGATGCTGTTTTTGAGAACAGAGTTTCTGGCACTGCACTGTTGGCTGGCAAGAACCCGTTAACCTATATCAGTCACCATGAGATGCAGTGGTCAAACATGCAGCTGTCTTCTTGTGTTTTTAATTGTGCAAATGTGTAGCTGGTTCAGAGTTTCTATGCATGCCAAGTCACTCTACCCTGTTGTCATATGGAAATCTCTAGTAGTATCATAGCCAGATGCGTCCATATGATGCTAATGTACCTTGTATTGTATTGTTGTAGGATATCAGTGAATGCACAGGGCCACAGAGTGAGCTGACAGAGCTGAACTGCAAAGTGAAGGACAGGTTCAGTCGTCTCCGGCAGCGGATCCAGGTGAGATACAAAGGCACTGCTTCAGGGAAAATGGGATTCTCTTCTCAATTTATGGGCCCATTTTTACAACACTTGTCTCAACAGGATCTGGAGCAAATGGGGAGGGAACAGGATAAAGAATCTGACAAGCTGGCCTTACTCAAAGAGGTGGAGGCCCATCGCAAACAGATGCTTAGGTGAGGACTCACCTCACACAGGGCGTCCAGAAGCATATTGACATTTCTGATAAAGAAAATATCTGTGTCTAATAGTAGCAAGTCAAAGCTAATCGAAAACCACACCAGAGCTAATCACTAGGGTTGCCACCCATTCAGGATTTTCCTTGGAATCCAAGCATTTTCCTATGTTAGCATTTCTTATGCGTTTCTTGTATTCAATAAAATCATTTGTGTACAAAGAACGGATTTGGTTGGTTCAGAATACCGTCAGCACTGCAACACAATAACTTAGGTAAATTACATTCTCTAGCTGAAACATCAGTCTACTTTACATTGTGTGGTGAATACAGCTCCCTATCCACTAAATGTAGCCAAAAGCCACTAATCGAGTGTCTAGGAATTTTGCAGGGCCAAAGTGACAACCAATCATATGGCATACCTTGTATGTAGCCTTACTAGGCAATTCAGTGACTTGGATGACTAAAGGCCTTCTATGGCCATGTATTGTTCTCTAATGTTCAGTGAAATCTTAAGGAGGGTGAATGCTTTCTCTCTAATAGACCTCTGTCTGTCTTACAGTAATCAGACGGCATGGAGGAAGGCCAATCTGGCCAGTAACCTGGCCATTGATAAGCTGGAGAAAGAAGAATTGCTGGATGATGGGGGCACTACAGCGAGACAGAGGTGATTAAGTGGAAAGGCTTGACTGCTGGATTAATGTTGGTGGTACAAACATGTACACACACAGACATATCTATAAATAACACAAATTATACATAGAGTATATGTGTAATCTCAGTGTTAAATTCTGATATTTATTTATGGATCATACCTTATTTTTTGTGTGCATATTTGTGCTCTAGGTTTGACTCTGGTTCATCACTACTTTAACACCATGGACATAAAAAAAGATCCTGAATCCTATAAATTGTAACATTTAATTAAAGTGAAGAACATATTTGAGATTTTTAAAGATTTTTCTTAGAGCAAAGTACTCTAATGTGACTTGAAGTGGTGATACCACCTTTATCCAGCAGAGGGCAGTTGCTAATGCAAGACTTTGTAACTGGTTTGCAGATCTGGTTGGGAGCAAATAAACACCTCAGTTTTTTGGTTATGGAAGTTTATTAAAGAGGAAAAATGCCATTAGAAATATATCACACCAGTGCATTAAATAGTCCTTTGACAGGAACATGTAAATAAATATTTAAGTCAGTGGTCATCAATCAGGCCCATCTCATATGCCCAATCAGTTGTCTGAAGACTGAGTAAACTGATCAAACTAGCGGAATCAGGTGTGCTTCTACTTGATTGGAATGAAAATCTGCAGCAGTACTGGGCCTTTGTGGATAAGAGTGGTAATCTCTAAGTTCTTAAGACCTTTTAAAATGGGGAGTACAAAGGTTAGTTCAAAATTGACTGACAGTTATGAGAAGGAAAGAAATTCTCAGTACAAAAATCCTGATGGCTTTTGTTTGAATTTGCTTTAAGTGTTTATTTTAAGCATTTTTCAGCAGCAGAGGCTCTTGAGACATAATCTGATACTGGGCATTGGATGACTCACTAAATCTGATTTTATTGCCGAGTTGGAAAAATGGATTCTGTTTTTGTTCCAAAGCAAATTAGAATTCAGTTCACACCTGTTTGTTCTAGCGGTAAATAGCATTATGTTGTTGCTGTCAAGAAAACCTCCGAAGCAACAAGTTTTCAGTGAGGAAGAAAAAGGTCACAGCCATCCACAGATCCCTCTGTGATCCAATTATCATGAAATGTCATGGTGTATAAAGTTGGTGATTTAGCTCCTAAAGCCACAATGTGCCTGAAGTGCATAACGGAACATTCGGCTCAATTAATGCCTGTAGGAAAAGGAAACAAAGAAACTGGTTGTGTCATAAAGGGGGTAGCCTTGCAACACTGTCCCTGTGGTCTTGTTGTGCAGAGAATGAAGAATAGGGTGATTACTTTGCTGATGTTTTTATTCCTCCCAACAGAAAGCTGACCAAAGAGAGCCTGGCTCAGACGTCCAGTGATATCACAGAGAGCCTGATGAGCATCAGCAGGATGATGTCCCAACAGGTGCAGCAAAGTGAGGAGACAATAAGCACTCTGGGTAAGTTCTTCCTGTTAACCTGATAGCCTGTAGTTCAGGCCTATTAGAGTACAAGCCTAAAGTGGCCAGATTGGCTGATTAGCTGTCTTGCATTTTATTTGTTAGTACTTAACAGTTCCCAACTGAAGACGGAAATAGCTTGAGCTCAAATAAGCATATAGGACTTCTACAGGTGTCACAGCACCAGTTCTAAAGCATACTAAAGCATACTGCCACAGCAGTATGAAAAAATGTTTATGGACTAATTATGTCTTACATGTGATGACTCGATGCATTTACTAGACCATTTTTGGAATAGAGGAATATGGATCATCTGGATGCCTTCTCCAGTTACTGTAATGGTTTGCCAGCAGAAGACAGGTTGTCTTACACTAATAAGCTTTAGCAATAGGGTGAGGTATCTTGACATATACTCACTGTCGGGTCAATGGGTCAAGGATCCAACTAAATGGTCAGAAATACGGTGGCCAGACATCTTTGTATACCTTGTGGGAAAAAGCGTTTGTACGAAAGAAAAACTCATGGCATACAAATCTCTTGACGTAAACAATTTTATATTTTGTGATTGTGTCCAGGGCCTTGAGATTTGTCAGATGGTTTTTGTGTATTATAGACCAACGTACTGCCCGGTCAGCGACAAAGACATAAAACACAGCTATACAAGACATGGGCTATAAACAGGTCAAACAATTATATACGGATGGCGAACTGCATCTGGTTGGGTTAGTTTTAACTTTGTTTCTTTGTTGAAAGTATGTTAGAACAATGTAAATTACTAGAACCGCTGCTGCAACTACTATCTAGGTGTATATAAATGTTATTTTATAGGTCTAAATATAATTTCATGCCATAAGGTTAATGTAAGATTAATACTTAAGTAGGGCTAATTCAGTATTCCCTCTGTTAATTGCATGTGTGAATATTATCTTGATCTATTTTTTACATCAAATTGATGCTCTAATGTAGGCTAATCATCACAGGTTAGGGTCGTGCTGCATCCATGCACCTGCAGTGCTTTTTAAGGTTAGACAGACACAGCGAGCACATAAAAGGGCATCATTGATGATGGTATTCTACAAAAATGAAGGTCATTTGTTTTTCCATTCCGATTCTGGCATTCAACAGCACAACAAGACATTTTTGTTGTTATTCTGTAGGTCTCGCCCATTTTGCTCCACTTGTTTCTGCTGTTCTTCTGCCACCACAATGCGCACGTGACTGGCAGTGACGTAACCATGACTATAAACATTGATTTGACATTTTGCCACAGACCATTTTAGCTTTTGTAGTAGATGAGCTTCGTAGCTGCCAATCTAGCAGACCACTGATGACGACAATGTTCTTGTTTTTGTGTTAGTTTTTGGCTTTGGGTGAGTAGAAAACAATGGGGTCTTACTTTTACAGATCTTTCACAGTTTACTTACAGTTTTCTACTTTTGACCACAACTGTGTGCAGATCACAAACTGAAGGCTTGAGGCAGTGCCAGATAGTAGTGGTTGCTTAGTAGTTAGTAGTTGGCAGACAACATAATGATATTATTTGTCCATAATACAGTGTGAGCACTAACAGAAAACAAATCCAGTTTTATCATCTTAAAAATGCAGCTTAATAAATATTATGTGCTCATTTGATTGGGTGAGCCTGTGATCCCAGGCCTACCTGTGTTCACGCCCCTGCCAATGATGTGTTTGTTTACATGTAATTGCCTCAACCCAATGCATGACAATGCACCTAGTTCACATTCTGTTTCTTGCAAAGTAAACTCACGATTCTTAAAGCTAACAACTGTGGAGATTAACTGCAGTCAGCTCAAATAATGGCAGTGAGCAATAATTATGACAGGCCTACAGGAAGGTCTTTAATTTATTAAACCATGTGCTCTTTTAGTTGTAATCCAAAGAGCTTTATGCTGATTGAAGTAAAACATTAAATGTGTTAAAAGGAAGCAGCGATAATATCACTAATATCAGTGATAAGATCCACAGTTTTGCCGATAGATGCTGTGAGGCACTTTCTGAATAAGCGAGAACATATATTCACACCAGAATACCAATCAGTAACAGCTTATTTTTAATGTTCAAAACATTTGTTCAAAGTAGTGATCAGAGATGGAACCGATCTGAGACCAGTATCGAGCTGATATTAGCCAAATATGCTGGATGGAGGGAAAAAAATAGTGATTCAGAGCTGCAACAGATCAAACCTAAATAAAATAATTTAATAAAACTAATAAAACTCATGGGCATTGTGTGGTGTGTTGTTGTTAGCTGTGTAGTTCTTCCTGTGTTGGAGTAGTTTCGGCATGATAGCCGACAAACAGGTGGTTCTTCAAGAGTTCTTTAGTAAAGGGAATGATTCTATTTAGAACCATGATGTCTGTGTACACATTTTAAAAAGATGGGTCTTTAAGAGTTCTTTAGTAAAGAAAATGGTTCTCTATAGAACCATGAACACTCAAATGCTTGATTGGTTCTTTGCATCGTGAAAGCGTTCTTCAGATTGATGCAGAATGTGCTGTAGATGGTTCTATATACAGCCTTTTTGAAAATGCATCGAATAGCACCAGAAAGCGTTCTTCTATTGTTAACAAGTTTGATATCCCAACAATAGCAGAACCCTTTTTGGAGCTATAATGAATGCTTTTCAAAAAAGTTCTATATAGAACCATCTACAGCACATTCTCCATCAATTTGAAGAACGCTTTCACGATTATGTAATCACGTAAAGGGTTCTTTGAAATGGTTCATAAGCATCAAGAAATGGTTCTTCAGACTAATGGAGAATGTGCTGTAGGTGGTCCTATATAGAACCTTTTTGAAAATGGTGCTATATCAGACCAAAAAAGGTTCTGCTATTGGTACGATATCAAGCTTGTTACAATAAAAGAACCCTGTTTGGTGTGATATAGAACCATTTTCAAAAAGCTTTTATATAGAACCATCTACAATATATATTCTCCATCAATCTGAATCATGATGCAAAGAACCCTTTAATCATGCAAAGGGTTCTGTGAGTGTCCATGGTTCTAGATAGGACCATTTTGTTCACTAAAGAACCCTTGAAGAACCGTCTATTTTGAAAGTATAGGTTAGAGAGAATAAACCATTTTCTCCCTCTGGTTAAAGAGGTTAAAGCTTTTCCGTCTCTCTCTGTAGCCACGTCTTCAAGAACGGTTCTGGAAACCAACGAAGAGTTTAAGACCATGACTGGGACCATTCAGCTGGGCAGAAAACTCATCACCAAATACAACCGACGAGAACTTACAGACAAGCTGCTCATCTTCCTAGCACTGGCACTCTTTCTGGCCACTGTCCTGTACATTCTGAAGAAAAGACTTTTCCCTTTCCTCTGACCAAACTGACATAAACGCTGATCAGGAACATTAGCTGAGATCTGACGGCGATCTGTGAATTGCTGGATCAGTTTCAACACTATGTTATGACTTTCCAGGCACAGATTAAACTAAAACTGTACTGAATTTCCTTGTCAATGGATGGTCGCCATTAAAAGTCTTTGTCTAGGCCTAGCCTTAATCTGTATCTGTGGAAAGCACTGGTGCAGTGTTTAATGATGGAAATGCACTTTAAACTGAAGTGCAAAGTAGCTGACTGCAGACTTAGAATAATTTGTAACATAATCTGCCAAGAACTGATTACCTTGCTGTTGTAAAAGCCACAATATCCGCACATCTATGACCGCCTCACATCAACTGAATATTTGCATACATATACATATTTATAATTGTATATTACTGTGCCACAGCACGTAAAACCCTTGGGCAGTTAAAGGAATAATCTTTGATTCTCATGCTGCCTGCATGGACCACCGGGTCTGTTGATAAAATAGGAAGCCGTTTCTGTTTAAATTGAGGGGCTGGCAACTTATGTTCTTACCTAGAACTATGCTGGTCAGCTAGCTAACAGGCTAAAATATAGCAAACATGCTAAACAACTCCATCATTAATATCACAGGCTTGAATTAAACTACTTACGGTATGAATAACTGTAAAATGGTAGTATGAAAGTCTAAAGAATGTCACTTGAGTGTTTTACACACTTCAAATGTCCGTGTTTCAGTCAGAAGTCGCGTCAAACCCAGGCTGAATCCCAAACGGCTCTGTACTCCCTAAATAGCGTACTAGCTATGAAAGTTTGGAAATTCTAGCCTCTACAGCCAAATATTGTATCATTTATCGAGTATGAATGTGTCTGAATCCCACATGGCTATTTTTAACTATGTTTTGCTCTGTTGGGCTGCATTAAACAGTGCTGTGTTATCTTATGTTCATTGTTATACAATAAAAACTTAAATCATGAAAAAAAAATTGTGAAATGACCGCAACATACAGCGATGGGCGACCAAACGTTCTTCTCCTAATCCAGCCATGGTTGTTTAACAACAATACCGTACTCTAAAGGAATTACATTTCTTGGCAGAATACTTGTTTATGTCGATTATTATTAATAATAACTCATTATTTAGTTATTATTATTCAGTATTTTATAAAATCGCAGTAACCCACAGGCTCTCGTGGCTTATTGTTTTATTATTCCATTCTAAAGAGGCAGCAGCTGATGTTTAATCATCACCTGTCTTTTTATAATCTGTTATGTGCAGAGCAATAGTTATTGTTACGTCAAAAGGTTATGGTTAATCAGAGTGTATGTTTGGCAGAACCGTTCCTAAAGAGCACAGTTTCAGAATGAGAATTTCATGTTTTTGTTTTATTTATGTCAGCTAAAGATCTTATTAATGAAATCAGATGTTTGTTTTGTTGAAGAGGTCTGAAAGTTTTCAAGGTGTGTATCATCGCTACATAAAAAAACACTATAAAATAAATATTGCAATCCAGTGTTGAATGGAAATCTGTGTTTTTTATGTATTTGATCTGATATTTGCTTCTGTCACTGAAGTCTGCACTGAAGCTTTGCCAGGAGTCTAAGCCTGAGTTTATTGTAAGTTTAAGGCTAACTCAGTGAGTTATTAATGCCCCCCCGGGCTGTTCGCTCCTGGCTATTTCCAGGCCGGGCACTGCATGCTGTCACAGGGACACCTCCGGTATGACACGCTGGTTCGGGTGAGTTAAACTCATCCGGTACGTTGCGGAGCTGGCAGCTGCTGTGCTGGCCGGGAGTCAGCTGCAGTATCAGAGCAGAAAAGCTCAAAAAAGCTGCGGCTGCAATCTCAGCACCAGAGATAAAGAGGCATGCAGCTCTGTCCTTTCTCCGATAAGAGTCGGAAGAGCTGATTAATACACCTCCCCACACCACTCGCTCTTTCCCTTTCCACTATCTCTCTCTCTCTCTCTCTCTCTCTCTCCCCCTCCCCCCCTTACTCCCTCTCTCCCCTCTCTCTTTCTCTTTTCCATTACCTCTCTCCACCTTTTCCACTCTCTCTCTCTCTCTCTCTCTCTCTCTCTCTCTCTGTCTCTCTCTCTCTGTCTCTCTCTCTCTTTTTCTCTCTCTTCTCTATTAACTCAAATAAAGGCTTTGAATGGTTCAGTATCTATTTGAGTTGTATAAAACAAGTTAATTTGCTTGTTACCACATAAAGTATTTTAGCATCTCTTTTATCTCTTTTTCTCTCTTATTCTCTTTGTTTCTCTGTCCACCTCTCTGTCTCTCTCTCTCTCTCTCTCTCTCTCTCTCTCTCTCTCTCTCTCTCTCTCTCACTCTCTCTCTTTCTTTCTCCCTATCTCACTCCTCCTCTTTCTTTCCCTCTCTCTTTTTCTTTCCATTGGGGGTGGAAGATGAGATCTGTTATTTTTGGAGTTGTGCGTCCATGCTATCTGACTTGTTCTTTTCAACGCCTCAGAGAGCGAGTGGCCATTGTGCCCGCGTGACCTTCCTCTCAACCCCCTCGCTGCTCCCTCACAGTACTGCCATTCGCCCAGGGACTGCTGCTGTTTCACCTCATTCACTGTCATCGATAGCACTTAAACCCACAATGAAAAGGGTGCGGCGTTGAATGTGTATGTAATTTTAATCAAATGTATTCTAGTCCTTCGGTTTACATACATCATATCACACATATCATTCAATGATAGTGTATGCTTTGATTCAATCAATAATATAAAACCAGTTTTGTTGCAGATACTTATACCATGAATCGAGTACAATGCTAATATTCTAGAGTTTTCAATTTGTAGGAAGTGAAATTATTTTTTTTAATGATTCTATAATAACGAAAATGCTGTATAGCATCTAAAATAAACTTATAGTAAAATGAATATCCATAATGTCTCATATTCAGAAAGCGGTGACCAAATCTTGCTGATCAAGTAGCTATTAATTATTAATATAGCTATTAGTTATTTTATGTCAAGAAGTAACTATAAATAGATAGAGTAGTTAGTGAATAATTTCTGTTTATTTGCTGAGTTTAACATACTGGAAAAAATAAAACGTGCCATAATTTTTGCACAGGCCGTATTTTGTTTTTTTGTTTTTTTTTCAGTATGTTAAACTCAGAATATAAACAGTAATTGTGCATTAAAGTGTGCAGAAGTCTGTTCACTGTAATGTAATCTTATTTTTTTTTTTTACATATCATGATTTCTTGCTGTTCCCTGAATACTTTAAATTGTGAATAAACCATTGGTTTACATTTTGGTGTCAAGCTTATAACATTTAAGCCGATGGTGTGTAAACAAGTGGTACTTTGTGTAATAAATCAGTTGAAATAAAATATTTTATTCAAATGGAGAAGCTGCAGATGTTAAATCAAGTTACTTCACTACGTCACTTTTTCATTGCAGGCATTCGTCTGTTTATATGCAGACACAATTGGATAAACTTGCTCACGAGTGTCCACTAACAGGTGTGGAGAGACCGGAGAGACGCCCAAGCACTGTCTCTTACTCATCTGAAGTGGCTCCTATTGTGTCTCTCCTTTTCCCTTCCATGCACATGCCCTCTCTCACAGCCTGCACTCTGCTTCTGTGTTCAGCAAATTGAGCCATTTTAAACATTAAGCACGACACTTTCGCGCTGTCAGTCAGCCGAAATGCCTCCAAGATAAATATAAAGCAGGCTGTGCACGTTGGACGTTTACTATCCACAGTGAATCTCAGTGAAAACGTTCAGATTTACTGCTCTTCTGTTGGAGCAAATGGAGGGTGAGCTTTTGCTGAATGGCTCTTAATTTCAGCAATCAGTCAAGGAAACAATAACAGGCCGTTCAGTGACGCATGTGCCGCGGATCAATAGCGCTTTGGTGGGAGGACCTGTCATATCAAAGTCACACGAGACGGCAAACGTGAATGAGGTCTGACTTTCAGATTAAATATTTGCAGTTTTTGGTTTATGATATTTGAGCAGCTCATTTGGCAACACGCCTGACATGAACAGTCCAGAGATGTCAGGAGGAAAAGCCTGTTTAGGCTGTTCAGATGTTCTTATTGTAGACACAGCAGTGGGTCTAAACTCAGACCTAGCCATTGAATGGAAGCCTGTAATAAACACTGGAAAAAGACGTTAACACTAGAGATGGAGGAAGGTGTTGTTTTACCGTGTTTACTGATGTGAGGCCTATTGGCCATTCACAGTGCCTCATGTACTTGACTGCTCACACAGGGCCTCAGTAATACACCCCTATTTAGTGTGTTTTCTATTCATAACTACTGAATTGTATGGGCTGTGATGGACTGGTGGCCTGTTCAGGGTGTTTCCTGCCTTCCACCCAATAAGCACTGGGATAGGCTCCAGCACCCAGGAGGATAAGCAGCTTAAATGATGAGTGATTGTGAATAAGGTGTTTTCCATTATTTATGAATGTTCAATTTATTGACTAAGCATGTGCGGTACTATGCCCCCCCTTCCTTTTTGTCTTCTTAGTATTCTTAATATTACAATTATTATTGCTTTTTATTATTTTTTTTGTTATAGTGCTAATGTACACAAAAATAGCCATTTTATTTACTATCCAAAACCACCTTTGAACTCTGACTGTCGTTTGAGTTTTTATATGTAATGTTGCTGATGGTAAAACAGTGGTAAATCTGAAAAAAAAGTCTTTGGGTCACTATGTTGCCTCACAACACTCTGCATGTACCTCACCATTATGAATAGATTTAAAAAATACATTTTAGGGCAAAACGTTATTGTGAAACTATCATTAAACAGTGTCTCAGTGTATACACAAACATTTCATGTACTAACTTTCTGTGAGGGAGCTTTCCGAGGTGGACGTCTGGTTCCTATCACCACCACTGTGAAAAATTCTGACTCTGCAAGTTTCTCTAAAATGGTGCATTTCACATCAAACCACTTAAATAGCTTTGTTTACATCTTAATAATTTAATTATGGAGCAGTTTTGAAAGATCAATAGAATTCCCTTTCCAGAATGGCTCTAATGTAATATAATTAGATTCTAATTATAGATTATACCATTACAGTTATTACTATAGCAGTGTCTTTTTTGTCCATGTATTACGATTCCTGCTGAATGCTACTGTCGCTAGGGGAGAGCTGGGGACACGGCGTAAAAAGTTATACAAACTTTTAGTCATTTTTTACCTCATCTTTGAATTTTGACAGTACTTTGAAAGCTATTTTTTGACATTCACCTTAAAAAAGTACTTTTTTTATCATTCGTTTTTTTTTTGTCACTGAGATGTGTATCAGTCACAGAATTCACACCTGTATTATTTCAATCACTCTTTTGGCTGCACCATTTTGAAGCAAATAGTGAGCTATGCTAAAGTACAGCCCCCACACAGCAGGGTGAGTTGTAATATGCTCACATATGTATCAAAATACTTGTTTTGTTATTTCAATTTTATCATGCTTTTCTACTTTATAGTCAAAATAGTTTGAGTTTGAGTTTTTTTCATTTGTCATATTTATTTTGAGGGCTATATTTTTATGTATTTAGGCTGTAATACTAATATAGCTAACAACATAGACCTGAGCTGAATGTATTGTGTTTGCCCTGATTTAAAGACTTTTTAGTGACTGTTACAACCAGCCCTTCAGTCTGATACAATTAACCCCACCTATTATTATTAACTCAGCTAAAGTTTGCACTCCCCTCATGTTCTGCCAAATTGTTCATAAACGTGCTAGAAATAATGTTTCTGTTTTCATTTGCAGCAGTGATGTGTTTGTTGCTTTTTTGTACAAAACAAAATATCAATCATGCTGAAATATTTTTAGAATTGTTAAGCTAAAACAAAATGTGTAATGTTGTGCCCAGCTTTACCCTACTAAAACTACTGCTACTGTTACTAATAATTACTAATGCTAATAATAATTCATACTAATAGTAACCAATACAAAAAGAGTGTATGAATGAATATCATGTCTATAAGAATCTGCACATTAATAACACCTGATCCATCTATAAGGCATTGACTAACCAACCTGCCTAGTCGTGCCTAGTCATGAATAAATCTTATAATATCTTGTAACATAATATATATATATATATATATATATATATATATATATATATATATATATATATATATATATGTCAATTGATGATAATATAAATTCTGTCACTTGAGGCTTATAAAGATGTTAAAAAGCATTAGAAATGACTACAAGTGATTATTCCATTCCATGTAAGTATAATTCATAAATCACAGCATGGCTCAGTGAATGTTTATAGCTAAGCAGGTTTGTTATAATGCACTGTGCAAGTTGAGACTGACTTTCTTTGGCACTGATAATGTGTTATTAGTGCTAAATATGCATTTTATTAACAGTTAAAAATATATAATAAACATGGCTATGCATTTTTATAACTACTTATAGCTGCATTTATCATGCCTTATGACTTCATTATAAGATCATATGACCGTATTCATAGATTCTTATCAACATGGTATTAATAGAAAGGGTCAGCAAACAAAGTTCTGATTCCCCAAAACAAACCATCATTATCATTATTACATTGGCAAAGACTTTATTGTTCACTTTAGAAGATTACAGATCATGCCTCTTCAAATGTATCCACATTCGTCTTTTCACATGCACACCGCATGTCCTCAGCCTAAAGCCCATGAAAACACAGTTTGTCAGACCCTCAGTGTTACAGTCACTTTTAAAGTGTGGGTCCGCTTTGAGTGGTCACCCAAATCAAGCACAGATGATACAACAGTAAAAAACAGGTAAAAAACACACCTGAAATGTGTTTAGGATGTGTAGGCCTACGCTGTATGACATCATGTACACTTTGCTTTAGTAAACAACAAGTTAATGATTCAAAGAATGAACATGATGAAAACGATGCAGTTATAAATGGAACAAGCCACACATAAAAATAATAATAATAATGATGATAATACTAATAATAACTTACATCCCTCACATTTCAAAGGAATTCTAACTAAAAATCAGATAACCAGATTGGACTCAAAGCTTAAATTCACAGCAAAATTTCCCAGGAATATCAATACCACTACTATAAAAGGAAAAAAAAAAGACATCTGTGCACTTTAATTTATAGCCTAAGGCTGAGTCTCAAACGACTCCCTACTCCCTTTATAGTGCACTACAGGACATGATGGTTTTCACTCCCAAATAAAGCACTACGTGTCCAGTGAAGAGCGATTTGGGACTCGTCCTTTGGTTTCATATTGTTTCTAAAATCAAACGCTACATACTACATGCTGTTTTTGCAGCAGACTTGCAAACTATTCTCCTGCTTACTTAGTACCCAATTCAAAAAGGTGTGGGGCTCAAAGTGAGTTTAAAAGTATGCCTTGTTCACTATTATAGTGCACTGTTTTTGTAGTAATCTTATAGTGATGTCTGAAAACATAGTAAAGAATATCCAGAGCACTGTTACAGTCCTGCACTGTACTACAGTGGGTAGCATCCAGAATGTGTACCCTAGAGACCTGGAGTACCCATACTGAGTTGTGTCATGTGTAGCTGTTGTTGGACCTTTAAGACCTACTGCACAGTCACAGTCCTCCCTACGACCTACAGCTTTGACCTTCTGAAGAGGAACTTCCTGCAAGCATTTTGTATTGTGTCATTTTATTTATTGCAGCTTGTTTTATTTTTGGAGAGTTTGGCTTAATAGCGTGGAGAAGAGTGTTCAGTGATATTGAAGTTTATTATCTCAGCTGAAAAGCAGAGTCTACATGCTTTCACTGAACCTTTTTCTCTCATTAGCGAGCACCTTGCTACTGTGCAGTGTTGAGGGCCCGTTTCATGAAACACTGAATTTTTCTCACGTTCTTTAAATAAAAGAGTTTGACTCAGTATATAAACACTGTTAAAGTTGCGAAATGTACCATTTACCTCACAGTCCATAAAGGCCATGTATGGAAACTAAGCTGCAAATAGGGCCCGTTTTGAATTTACAGTTCCCAATTGGGTGATGTCACAGAACCCAACACATTTACATATATCCATTTATTCAGCTCATAGTTGTTTAGCCCCGCCTACCCAGACTGAAGTTATAAGAGGTGTTTCAGCCTGGACTGCTTTTTTGAATGAGGGCCAACACAAGGCAGCCAATCAGAACAGAGCTCATTTACATATATCACTCTTAAAGGTACAGTAACAAAACCAGCCTGTTTCATTCTAAGGGATAAAATCAGGTTGGAAAATGGTGATGTAAAAATGATAGTGGCTGGTTTTGGTACATAAACCAAGTAAAATACAAGGTATGGGTGCTTTAATAAACTATATCAGTTATTTTATATAAATACACTTGGAATCACATGTCATTCATTAGTTAATAAATTGTTATTTTATATACACTAATAATTTATTAAATTATAAACCATATAGTGTGATTTTCTGTTTAGAGTTCAGGATGTGATCATAACTTTTACAAGACAATGCATTCTGGATGTTCATTTTATTATAGCAGCATTCTTAATGTTCCTTTTTGCTTTCTCAGGCATTATAGAACCATCTAAACATCCTAATTATTTACAACTCCTTACTAATTATTTGAAGCCTTTCTTTTACATATATTTGTCTCCCAGGTAATTGGTTTTATTTTATTGAACACATTGATTCCTAACTTTTAATAGGTGGTGTGCATAATATATATTTAATACATTTTATGACATCATGAACAACATCATGAAAAAGAACACAGAAATATCACAGTGTTACAGTTTTTCTGACGGGCTCATAAGCCATGCTCCTGCATACCGCTGAATTAGGATTGGGTTGATGGGACACGTTTATAGTGAGACTATTGAATGAAAGTCAGCGACCTGATTAGATCTATAAAGGCCTTATTTACTGGAGCAGATGGGACACTCAAGCTTCATCACAAGTTTTGCATGTGTTTTTCACAAGTGCATCATTTATATTTATTTGCTGAGTTTAACACACACACACAATGATATATATATATCATATATATATTTATACACGTGTGTGTGTGTGTATTTATGGTATGTGGATGAATGCACTTGAGGTGGGGGTCGCTAAGAAGGCACAGTATATCCATCTACCCAGACACAGGTATACCACTGCGTACTGTAGTTTTAGACACATTAGTGTATAGAGTAGGAGGATGCAATTTAGTGCACTCACAGGATGTTCCTCATCAGATGTAGACAGTTTATGAAGGTTGTAGTGTTGACTAGCTGTGATGATGTGCTTACACTCACTCGATTGTCATACCAAGGAAGCAGGATAATAGTATCAATGTACTAATACTGAAGGTACTGCTGGGCCTTTAGGCTAGTGCTCAACTTGACTTGACCTTATGCTGCATGGTATCTGAGTCCTTTCCAGCTGATGAGAATTACAGTTTTGAACACCTTAAAGGGGAATTCCACCAAATGTTTCAGCAATTCTGCCTAATTAAATGTTTATCATGTAAACAGTCATTCAGAGTGGGTTTGGTGTGAAATGGTCGTAAAGAAACTCACTGAAGCTCACTGTTGATAGTGGTGATAATAGGAACTAGCCGTGCGAAGAGTTTAATGCCTCTAAAAGCTACATGAAATGGTTGTGAATACACTACCTGATGTCTGAGACATTGCTTTACAGTAGTTTTGCAATACGCTTTTTTGCTTAAAATTTACTTTTTAAAAATGTATTTATGGCAGACAGTTACACATTTTTTTCAGATCTGCCACTATTTTGATATTAGCAGAAACTTTAGAGGACACATGTAGGTCCGCTGGTGGTTTTGGATAGTATATTTGCATTGCAGACAATATGAGCCCTGGTTCCTGTGAGCTGTAAAGAAATTTGAGTCTGTAAGTTTCCGTCCTATTAGCCATTTCACATCAAACCACTCAGAATGACTTTGTTTACATCTTAACCACTGAATTATGCAGGAATTTTGAAAAATTCCTCTTTTTGAAAAGTTCCCCTTTAAACTCTTCAGATGTCTGGTTCCTGTCACCACCACTGTGAACAATTCTGACTCGTAAGTTTCTCTGTACCACAGCTTTTCACATCAAACCACTCTGAACGGCTTTGTTCACATCTTAAAAACTGAATTATGCAGAATTTCTGGTGGTGGGGTGGACTTCCCCTTTAACTTCACTTTCCAGTCGCGCTGTTTTCGGTGGGAGCGCGCTGTGCTGGAGCGTATCCTTCACCAGGCCCGTATGCCGTGCAGTGAGGAGACCCCCCCGCCGGACTGCAGCGGCGTCTGCACGTTGCTCAGCTCCCCGAAGTTCATGTAGTTGGCGCTGGACGGCGACGCTGAGTGGTGGATGGCCGGCACGCTCGCCGCGGCCGCTGAGTAGTTGCACGCATAGTTCGAGCCGCCGGGGCTCGGGAAGCTGCCGAAAGCAGCCGGGTACGCTCCGTACGGGAAGGGGCTCACGCCCATGCTGCACGAGCCGCCGTAGGCCGCCGCTGCCGCCGCCGCCGCGTCCGCGATGCACGGCTTGCCGTCGCGCACCAGCACTGGCACGGACACGCGCCGCGGGCCGCCCAGCCCCGCCGCCTCCAGCGCGCGCTCCTGCCGCTGCCGCTTGCACTTGTAGCGGCGGTTCTGGAACCAGATTTTGACCTGCGTGGAGGTGAGCCGCAGCGCGCCGGCCAGGTGCTCGCGCTCGGCCGCGGACAGGTAGCGCTGCTGCGTGAAGCGCCGCTCGAGCTCGCACACCTGCGCCTGTGAGAAGAGCACGCGCGGCTTCCTCCTTTTCCGCGGGGCCGCGCGAGCCGAGCCCGGCGCTCGGGGCTGGTCATCAGCGGGGGGGCAGCTGGAGGCTAGAGAGAGAGAGAGAGGCAGAGAGTCTTCAGACCACTGTCACGAGTGGGACTTTAACCGAGCTGAGCTTTGGGTCATATAAACTGTTTATTTATTTATTTATTTATTTATTTATTTATAATTTAAACCACAAAGGCTTGATTTAACCTGACTGCTCGTTCCCACATGACTTACATATTTCAGGCTTAACTGACACGGTATTTTTGTTCCGGTGATTCAGTGTATCAATAATAATAATAATAATAATAATAATAATACGAATATATATACATACTCATGACTTTTGACAACAACAATACTATATTATTATTACTATTATAATTATTATAATAATAATTATTATTATTTTTATTTATTTTTGTATGTCTGTAAATGCACCATAAAAACACAACAATCGTGACTTTTTCGTTCTTTAAACAGTCATTTTATTATTATTTGATTACATTATGACAGTCAATTATTATTATTATTATTATGTTCCATTTAAGCATATTTTATTATACACTTGTCTTTTTTTAAATAATAAATAAAAAATGAAAGCGAGACGCGTAAATATACTATTTATTTATTTATTTTATTTTTTATTTTGTGTTCTATTTTGGCGGCAAATGAGTGAATACACCTTTTTCGTTATCGCGACGTTTCCTTTCTCAACATTTAATCTAGTTTTAACAGAAATGTTTACTTACTGCTTCTTTTAAAGGGGTTTGGGGTGAAATACTTTTAGATTTACATTTTAGATTAACTCACTGATTTCTTTACAGTGGTGCTGAGAGAAGCCGCCACATCTACAACGCAAATATAGCCGTTTTATTTATTGTCCGAAAGCACCAAAAGCACGTGCCTTCTGAGTTTTAGTATGTGATGCAGATGATGGTATAATATCATCGATATATCTGAAAACAAGTTTTCTGTGATGGAGCTTTTAGAGACGTTAAACCCTTCAGACGTCTGGTTCCTATCACCACCACTGTGAACAATTCTGACTCTAATTTTCTCTAGAACGGAGCATTTCACACCGAACCACTCTGAACGGCTCTGTTTACCTCTTAACCATGTCATTTTGCAGAAATTTTGAAAGATCGCTGGACTTCTCCTTTAAGTCAGACTCGATGTTCTCCGTTTGATTTGTTCTCGGTCGCGAGCACACTCATCGTTTGGCGCTCTAAATCAGAGCGACTCTTATTTCGAGTGAGACGTGTTATTTAAATCAGCTGTTTATATGAGCTGGGTATGTAGATGATTTGGTATTTGAATGCATGGCTTATGTGAGTCTTAAGGGAAACGCTGAGTCAGAAATAAAGGAACAGTGTAGGTACAATTTTTGTTCATCAACGTAAAAACAATGTAACTGTTCCATTAAAGGTACAGCAGTGGTTTTAATGTCCATCTGTGAACTTTAAAGAAGTTTTTCTTAGAGAAATGGTGCTTATTTGGACGTTTCCATAACCAAAAGATTGAACCCTCCTGTCAGCTTCAAATTTACATCATCCTTATCTCTGGGATCAGCAATTTAAACCTCCAGGAAATGATTACAAACAAAACTGTTACCCAAGTTTATGTGTCCAGTACTTTGTTTCTTTTGTTTCTTTGAAAAAGAGATGTCAGTCATTTATTTGGAGACATTGAACGTTGAATGGGTTCAAATTGACCTCAGACATAATAAAAGGGTTAAAACAGAAGAGTAAAATAAAAGCCTGGAGTTCAGACAGGCCGTGTGGAGTCAAGGCAACTTACAAAATTACTTGCAATGGGTTATGGCACAGTCATGTCCCCTGACATATTTTTGAGGGTACCACCCCAGTGACAGTGTAGTGCCTTTATTTCTGAGAGTGTGTCAGTAAATCAGAGGACGACTGGGGTTTTCCTTTCTCATTACATTTAATAATTACATTTTGATAGAAGGACAGGCACTGAGGGTCATCAGGTCACATGTGGCTGTTTGCTATGGTTTCTGTTTGATTGGGTCTCCTTTTTTACTGAAATGCAGCGTGCCCATAGAAGTGCGTCATTTTGCTTATTTAGGAAGAATATAAAGCGTCCAGTATAAAGAAACAGACACTGAAATAAACAACAGAGCCCCTGATACTGTATGGTCCATAATATCTGAATCTACCCTCACAGTGCTGTAAGGACACTAAACTCATTTGTTTATATTAATTTTAATTGAGGCTGTATAGAAAGTGTCCTAAAAAACTGATGTGTTAAGTAACAACACACTAACTTGTGTTACCCATTTCAACACTTTTTGTGTCATGTTGTTTTCTCATGTAACCCATTCTGAGTTAAAAGTAACCCCAAATGCATTATTCATTACTGGGTATCGAAATATTTCAACACATTTTGAGTTAAAAGTGCAACTTTGTTTATTCATTCATTTTGAGGAATGTAAAACTCTGAATTTGTGATGTTACTACTTAACTTTGAAGAGCTAAACCAGTAACTGAGACGGTAACTGTCTCCATTATACACTGTTAGAAATAAAGGTTCTGTGCAGGTACATTTTTCGTTCATCAAGGTACAAACAATGTAAATGTTCCTTCAAAGGTGCAACAGTGCTTTTAAAGACGAATTGTGAACCTTAAATAAGATTTTCCAGGTGAAAAGTACGTATTTTTACTTTTCATAACCGAATGTTTTAAAACAGAACAATAAAATAAAAGCCTGGAGACGAGACGGGGTGTGTGGAGTCAGTACAACTTACAAAATATAATTTCAATGGATTATGGTACAGTTATGTTCCCTGACTAAAGGTACTGAGATGTTCCCCTGAGGGGACCACCCCAGTGACAAGAGGGGCCTGCCCCAGTGATAGTTTACTACCTTTATTTCTGAGAGTGTAACAATGATAATATGTTGCGCGGGTCGGTTGCGCCGTTGCGCACGAGGAAGAGCTTCTCCAGCAGACTCATAAATCACGCACCAAAAATCAAGAAACTGAGTCATCATAGCACAGCAGCTCCTCTGAACGTGATTATTCCTGTTATAGGTTCGTTTTCATGGGTCAGATATAATAACAGCCCCGTGTCTTCATAAACAGAGTCCAGGCAGCACAAAGGAAGCACGAGCTCTACGTCTTGTTACTGCAAATACAGCTGATTTTAGGAGTGATAGTCTGAGCTCAGCCTGCAGGGGGTCTTTTTCTTACTGGTCTCAGTCTAACAGAACTCAGTAATGAGGCTGCGAGCGCTAACGCTGTCTGTTCTAGTGGTCTAGACAGGCCTGATGCTGCCACTCGCGCGTTAGTGCTGTAGATCAGCGGTGTTGTGTTTGGAGAGATTTATAAACAGATATTCAGACTCGAAATCATTAAGACCCCCAGATCACTTTGATTTCGCTGCAGGTCAATAATCTGTAATACAGTAATAATAACAGTTATAATCTGAACCGTGATCTCTCTCTCTCTCTCTCTCTCTCTCTCTCTCCCTCTCTCTCTCTCTCTCTGTATAAACTCTCACAAAACAAGGTCCTAAACTGTCACTGGGGCAGTGCCCTCCTTGTCACTGGGGTGGTACCCTCAAGGGTACATCTCAGTACCTTTAGTCAGGGAACATAACTGTACCATAATCCATTGAAATTATATCTCGTAAATTGTATTGACTCCACACACCCCGTCTCATTTATCCTTTCTGTTTTAAATCATTTGGTTATGTAAAGGTACAAATATGTATTTCTCACCTGGAAAAACGTGTTTAAGCTACACAGCTGGACCTTAAAAACACTGTTGTACATTTCATGGAACATTTACATCGGTTTTACCTTGATAAATGAAACACGTACCTGCACAGGACCTTTATTTCAGTGTACAGTGAAACAGTGTGGGCCACAATGAAACCAGGAGGTTGTCTGACTCTTCGACTTGAAAGGGCGTTTTGTATTGAAGTGTGTGACTCTGCTGCACTCTGACTGATGGAGGAGCTACCTAGGGTTCTTTGCGATGATGTGGTTAGAAGAACCACCTTGGGTTCCGTAAAGAACCTTTCAGTGGACAGTTATTCACACCAGTCCTCCAACATCTTTCGAGATGACCTGTTTTTGCCGCAGATGGTGCTCGGAATGCGCGTGCTTATAATATAAGAGTCAACAAAAACTCTTTCTGGGACCTTTATTTTATAAAGATTGTATCATGTACACACATAAATAAAGGAGCCGAAATTGGGTTCTGTAGAGGGACACTAGAACAATGAGTTCTACAGTCGTGTGCAAAAGTTTGGGCACCCCTAGTCAAATTACATGATTTGTTGATTGTTTAAATAAGTGAACACATAGTTTATTGCACTTTTATGACTTTATGTTCATTGAATTTAACGTATTGTGGGGAAATGTAAAACATAAAATGTGTGCAAAAGTTATGGCACATTTTATCGTTTATGTTTTATTATTATTATTATTATTATTATTTCTAATATGTTAAACCTAGGCAATAAATAGAAACTGTACACCTGGACGAGTGAACCGGTGGTTTATATTAAACCGTTTTCGAAAGTGTTCTTTAAGGAACCATATAGAACACGTACTCAGTCATGACCTGGAACCATTTCAACATACCAAGAGCCATTTAAGCGCTCAAAAGGTTCTATGATATGTATAAAATCTTTACTAAAGAACCATCGAAGAACCAAAAAATGAAGCATGAAATATAAATGTTCTTTTTTTGCACGAGCCACAACTTATGTTTTTTTTTTCGAATATGTAAAATTAACAGAAAAAGCAAAATAACCAGGAGTTGTGCATTAAAATTGTACAGGATGTGTAACTTTTTTCATTTAGAAAATCAACATATATATATATATATATATATATATATATATATATATATATATATAGATTCTTACGAATATATATATATATATATTTATACACACAGCTATTAAATAAATAAATAAATAAATAAATATAGTTAGTTTATAAAAGCTCATTTTAAAGATCAGTAAATCAGATTCACCTTTCCTCTCTTTGCCCTCGAACGCGTCGTCCGTCTTGGCCTCTTTGTCCAGCTCCATCTCTAAGAAGTCCTTGCCATAAAAGGCAGGCTCGTAGCTGAGGGCCGCGCTGCTTCTCTGGCCTTTCCCGTCCTGCTGCTCGTCGTGGCCGAACAGGGCGGCCGCGGTGGCTCCGGGCTGCACGTCCATGAAGGCGGGCTCCTGCTTGAAGGCGGCCAGCATGCAGGACGAGCCGTCCATGTCCAGCGGGGCCACGTCGCCCTGCGCCTGCTCCAGGTTCAGAATGTCCCTGACAGAGAACGGTGTGGAGGAAAACATGGCCATGAGGGTCTCCTCTTCAGCGACCTGCTCCGACCACTGCTGCGGGCATCGAGGAGCGTCCAGAGAAACCGAAAGGAAAAAACTCAGTGGACAGACACGCGCTGCTGCTGCTGCTGGACCATCCTCATCCTCGAGCCCTCAGACCTCAGTTTTGGGGTCCTGTGGGACAGAAGAGGACAGTGTGTGTCTGTGAGTGTGTAGATGAGGAGGGGCCAGTGCGTAAAAAGCTATACACGCCCTCATTGGTCAGCTCAGTTTACGGGAATTACGGTTTACAAATCCTCCTCGGACATCCGCCCGGATATTAGGACAGAAGGAGCTCGACGGAGTGACTGAAAAGTTCTTGTTTTAACTTTGAAAAGTAAAGAATTCATCGAGGATCTGACAGTGATTTTAAAGAAATCTCATTAAAGTTATACATTCTGTTAACTTATTATATAGAGGTTCATTAAACTGAAGTGTTAAATCAATTTTACAGTGGCACGCGCACAAACTGGCCAATTAGACTGCGGCTAATGAGGAGACTTATTTATATTCACCTTCTTCTTTCTCACAAATGTGCTTATAACAGCCGTGTGCAAAAGTTTGGGCACCCCAGGGCCCATGTTTTGTTGATTTTGTGAGTGAAAATAAATTAAATATTGGTATTTTTTCTGCTAAAAAGCATTTCTTTTTAATTTGCTGATTAATATAACTGTTTAATATGCTGAAAAAAGCGCCATGATTACTGGCCACATTTTATGTTTAAGTTTTTTTTTCCCCTAATATGTTAAATTCAGAAAAACAAACACTGACTGTGCATCGAAATGTGCAGATGTGTGTTCACTGTACAGAATGTGGAACATATTTTCAAATGAACAAAACATGTCCTTTGACCAGGGGCGCCCATAATTTTGCAGACGACTACACGTTGATCTTCTTTATAGACTGCCTCATACACTTCTCAGAATAAAGGTACTAAAAAGGGTTCTCTGGAGGGATGCCACAGAAACAACACTTTAGATTCCTGAAAGAACCTCAGTTGATTGTTCTTTAAGGAACCACTCTTGTAAACGAGATGCCAGTGTAAAGAACAATTCCAAAGTTTAAAGAACCTTCACATAATGTAAAAGTTCTAAACCAATCATAAGTCCTTTTTCTTAGAATACTGAGTCAAAGGCGAGAACCATCTAGGAACCGTTATTATGTGTATATTTGTTTATTTTAGGAGTGTAGAGTGGTTTCCTCCACAGGCTGCTATTTTCAGGTTGTCTAGTCCTGGTTTATCTGCTCTACAGGGGCTCATTAAGCTGAAAAGTGTCACTGCTTAGTTACTGAAGAGCTGCGGAAGTATCCGGACGGTCTCTGAGCTGCCCTCCTCAGGGGGAAGCATTGGTTTGAGAAGAGTGACCACTGTAGGTCCTCACTGGACAGCACAGGAGCTTCTCACAGCTGATCAGACACCATTACATATATATTTATATTATTTAAAAATAATATTTCATCATATTTAGTCAAAACGTCTTCACTGTAGAGACTTTTTACACTCTTAAAGAAGATGGTTCTTCAAAGGTTCTTTAGTAAATAGAATGGTCCTATTTATAGAACAATTTCATGGTTAAATGGTTCTTTGCATGGTGAAATGGTTCTTCAGATTTATGAATGTGTTGTATATGGTTCTACAGAGAACCTTTTTGAAAATGGTTGAAAATGTAGCACCAAAAAGGTTCTTCTATTGTTATAAGCTTGACATCATAAAAACAGAAGAACGCTTTTTGGTGCTATATAGAACCATTTTCAAAAAGGTGTTATATAGAACCATATACAACACATTCTTCATCAGTCTGAACAACATTTTCACTACGCAAAGAACGCTTAAAGGATATAAATGGTTCTTTAAGCGTTTATGGTTTTATTTAGAACCATTGCATTTACTAAAGAACCCTTAAATAACCTTCTTTTTTAAAGAGTGTGTACAACACATTCATCAGTCTGAAAACCATTTCACCATGCAAAGAACAATTTAAGCACACAATAATTCTGTATATAATTCATAGTTCTAAACAGAACCATTCCATTTACTAAAGAACTCATGAAGAACCAACTTTTTTTAGCGGTGTGTACAACACATTCATCAGTCTGAAAACCATTTCACCATGCACAGAACCTTTTAGGCATGCAATAGTTCTGTATAGATCTCATGGTTCTAAATAGAACTATTCCATTTACTGAAGAACCCTTGAAGTACCATCGTTTTTAAGAGTGTATACAGCACATTCTTCAATCTGAAGAACGATTTCACCATGTGAAGAACCATTTAAAGCATGCAATAGTTCTGTATAGATCTCATGGTTCTAAATAGAACTATTCTACTTACTAAAGATCCCTTGAAGAACCATCTTTTTTAAGAATGTATACAACACATTCTTCAATCAGAAAACCATTTCACCATGCGAAGAACCATTGAAGGATGCACTAGTTCTGTATAGATCTCATGGTTCTAAACAGAACCATTCCATTTACTGAAGAACCCTCTTTTTTTAAGAGTGTAGTTGAACGCTGATTCAGTGTTTTGTGCTGCTGAGACAGCTGTTTGAAAGACATCATAACAGTAGTAAATGAGTGAATGTGCCACTCAGACTGTCCTTATAACTTTCCCTCTTTTCTCACATCAGTCTTCTCTAAGGTGCTGTTATCCATTTGCTGTATGAGTTTCTCTGCGCTCAGCGTTTAAAGACAGCCAGGTAATGACTTTTTAAAGGCCACACATCCTGTAGAACCAAACTTCACCTGCTGGTTTGGAATAAAAGAGTTTGATGTGGAATGTAAACATTTTTAAAGTTTCAGTCCAGACAGTCCATGTGAGAAAAACTAAGCTTCAAGTTTTAAATTAATTCTTTTGTGAGGTGAAAAACTCATTTACATATATCATATATGCCTACAGCAGTTTAGCCCCGCCCACTCACACTGAAGTTATAAACAGTATTTCATCCTGGACTGGCTTTTGAACAAGGCACAATACAGGGCAGCCAATCGGAACAGAGCTCATTTACATATGTCAGTCTTAAAGACACAGTAAGACAAACAGCCTATTTAATTCAAGAGTTTAAGTGTACTGAGTGATATTTAGGTCTGCAGGCACTCTGATGGACCTGCAGTCTGCAGGGAGAAAGCAAACAGACCTGCACTGAGAGCTCGTGGAGCCACTGACTTCAACACGTGATAACAGATGACAAGACAGCAGCAGCCAGCAGCGGAGTCAGAGCAGCATACCTGAACGCCCCCATACAGTGGGCAGAAAGACAGAGCTGAGTAAATGGACCCTCACGGTGGTGACGTAGTGAGTGTCTTCAGGAGAAACACTTATTCTTCTAGAGTTTAAATGTGTGAAAGTTAGAGACGTGTCTGTGTCATGAGACAGTTATGTTAATCAGTGATTCAAACACAACACATTATTATTATTATTATTATTATTATTATTATTATTATTATTATTAGCCCTGGAAGTGAATTTTTATTCAAATATTTCAAATAAATGAAAAAATAAAACACAGTCAATGTTGTATTAGTACTAATGTTGTGGTCGTTGCTTGGTGGGAAACTATTATTACTGTTTTTTTTCTATGTGCAGGTCAGGCGGCGCCTCTGCTCTCCTGTGCGTTATGAGTAAAAGAGCGCGCTCTGGCTCCGCGAGCCCGAACACCCACCCACCCCAGACGCCGCGGAGCTGAGCGGAGCGGGAGAGGGGGCGGTAATTAGTCCCGGGGGGAGACAGACTCTATTATCGTGGGTTTTTATCAGGGCTGTGAGCGCTGCAGGGGAAATGGCCCCGTGTCTCCGCGGCGGAGTGTTTATAGTGATGGAGGGATCTGATGGATGAGTGCAGAGCCAGCGCTGCCGCGTCCAGCCCTCCACTAATCGGCCAGTAGAGTAAACTCCGCGCCTCGGACTCATGGCAGGAGCTTTTATCCGACAGGACGCGCGAGAGACGACTTATCACAGCAGCAGCTACTCTTCTCCTCTCCTCTCCTCCTCCTCTCCTCGCCTCTCCTCTGTTCTCCTCCTCTCCTCTTCTGCTCTTTTTCTCCTCTGTTCTCCTCTTCTGCTCATTTCTTCCTCTATTCTCCTCTTCTGCTCCTTTCCTACTCTCTTCTTCTTCTCTTTTCCTTTTCTCCTCCTCTTCCCCTCTTTTCCCTTCGTCCTCCTTTCTTTTCTTTTGCCTTTCTCCTCTCTTTTACTCCTTTTTTAAATGTCTCCTGTCTGTTTCTTCTTTTTCCCTTTCTCCTCTCTTTTACTCCTTTTTTAAATGTCTCCTGTCTTTTTCTTATTTTTCCCTTCTTCTCCTCTTGTCCATTTCTCCTCTTTTTCTCCTTGCTTCCCTTTCTCATCTATTCTTCTCCTCTTTTCCATTTCTCCTCGCTTTTTCTCCTCTTTACCCTTTCTTATCTCTTCTTCTCCTCTTTTCCCTTTCTCCTAACTTCTCCTCTGTTCCCTTTTTCCTAACTTCTCCTCTTCTCCCTTTCTCCTAACTTCTCCTCTTTTCCCTTTCTCCTCTTCTTCCCCTCTTTTCCCTTTGTCTTCACTTCTTTTCTTTTCCCTTTCTCCTCTCGTTTACTCCTTTTTTTAAATGTCTCCTGTCTTTTTCTTCTTTTTTCCCTTTCTCCTCTCGTTTACTCCTCTTTTAAATGTCTCCTGTCTTTTTCTTCTTTTTCCCTTTCTCCTCTCTTTTACTCCCCTTTTAAATGTCTCCTGTCTTTTTTTTCTTTTTCCCTTCTTCTCCTCTTTTCCATTTCTCCTCTCTTTTTCTCCTCTTTACCCTTTCTTATCTCTTTTTCTCCTCTGTTCCCTTTTTCCTAACTTCTCCTCTGTTCCCTTTCTCTTCCCCTCTTTTCCCTTTCTCCTCTCTTCCCCTCTTTTCCCTTGCTCCTCTCTTCATCTGTGTCGCAGACCAAGTAAAGATGCTAAATGGAACCGAAATGCGCTCTTTGTAGTGAAGTCGTAGGAAAGGAAATGTAATGGATGGT